GGTTGTTAAGCAATGTCATAAAACAATATGTGTACTGACTGTTTAATGAGAAACTATTTGTTCTGTAAACCTTCATCTAAAGTACAATCAAAAAAATTAAAAAAAAAAAAAAGATTCCATAAGAAACAACATACTCAAAGTTCCAATAAAAAAGTTTGAAATTATTACATGTTTCTAGTTTTCTTAAAAGCAAAATGTGGAGGACAGTAAGAAACTTTATATGCTGTGTAGCTATTATGTACTATTGGCTACACAGGAGAAACCATATAGTTTTCTATCTACCCACAATTCACACTGCCAAGGAAAAAAGCTCTGATAAGGTCAAGGACACAACTGATCTACCAAACAATGGAAGGATAAAGCTGTTCTTCATTTATTTTAAAAATTTCTTCAACAAATATTTATTGAGCTCCTTAGGAGTGTCAGGCCCTATGGCCAATGGGATCCTTCTCAAGAAGCTAACCTTAAAAAACATGGGAAGAAAAACATCAAATAAATTATTATGAATGTGATGAGTGCTATGAAGAGGAACAATAAAGTAGGACCCAGTTAGGTCAGGGAAAACCACCCTCAGGTGATGACTTTGAGTTGGGGAAGGAGGAGAGTGTTTTCCAGGTAGAGGAACTAGAACTTGTAAAATCCCAGAGAAACTATATAAAAATGAAGTATATTTGATGAAATGAAGGAAGTCTGTATGGCTGGAGTGCAGAAGGGAGGAATAGAATGGTGGGAATATAAGATTAGGGATATGACACACCATCGTTAGGTAATGGGAAAGCTGTAAAAGGTTTTGAAGTAGGGAGTGAAACAATCAAATTTTCAAAAGCAGTTCTGGCTCATTTATAAAAGCAGAAGCTGTACTGGAGTGGGCTTCTTGTTGTTGTTAGGTGCCCTCGAGTCGGTTCTGACTCATAGCAAACCCATGTACAACAGAACGAAACACTTCCCGGTCCTGTGCCATCCTCACAATCCTTGTTATGCTTAAGCCCATTGTTGCAGTCACTGTGTCAATCCATCTCGTTGAGGGTCTTCCTCTTTTTCACTGACCCTCTACTCTACCAAGCATAATGTCTTCTCCAGGTACCGATCCCTCCTGATAACATGTCCAAAGTATGTGAGACATAGTCTCGCCATCCTTGCTTCTAAGGAGTATTCAGGTTGTATTTCTTACAAGACAGATTTGTTCGTTCCTTTGGCAGTCTGTGGTATATTCAATATTTTTCACCAACACCACAGCTCAAAGGTGTCAATTCTTCTTCAGTCTTCCTTATTCATCGTCCATTTAAGGCAACTGAAAATACCATGATTTGGGTCAGGCGCACTTTAGTCCTCAAAGTGACATCTATGCTTTTTAACACTTGAAAGAGGTCTTTTGTAGCAGATTTGCCCAATGCAGAACATCCTTTGATTTCTTGACTGCTGTTTCCATGGACGTTGATTGTGCATCAATAAAATGAAATCCCTGACAACTTCAATCTTTTCTCCGTTTACCATGATGTTGCTTATTGTCCAGTTGTGACGATTTTTGTTTTCTTTATGTTGAGGTAGAATCCACACCGAAGGCTGTGGTCTTTGATCTTCATCAGTAAGTGCTTCAAGTCTTCTTCACTTTCAGGAAGTAAGGTTGTATCATCTGCATAAAGCAGGTTGTTAATGAATCTTCCTCCAATCCCTATACCCTGTTCTTTATATAGTCCAGCTTCTTGGATTTACTTGCTCAATATACAGATTGAATAAGTATGGTAAAAGGATACAACCCAGATGCATACCTTTCCTAATTTTAAACCACACAGTATCCCCTTGTTCTGTCTGAACGACTGCCTCTTGGTTCTATGTACAGGTTCCTTGGAGTGGGCTAAAGACTATAAAAATAAGTAACTCATTTGAAAAGTTTGTCTTTGAGAAGGTAAGAGGGCTATAGCTGAAACAGCAGATGTATTTGTTTGCTACTTTCAACTGATGTTTGTTTTTTAAGGTAAGATCCACTTGAGCATGTTAATGGTAAGACATCAACAGAGAGAAAGAAGTTGAAGATGGGGGAGAAAGAGGTCACACAGATGACTGGAGGGCGGGAGCAGACCCCAGGGCTCATGAATTTATAGGCAACTAATCAGCCCAGTTCTCGCTGGCTAATTTTTGGAAGTAGATAGCCAGGCTTTTCTTCTCAGTCTGTGTTTGTCTGGAAGCTCTATAGAAACCTGTCCACCGTAGGTGACCCTGCTGTAGCATAGCTTCCAGCACCATAGCAACACACAAGCCACCACAGTATGACAAAATGACAGATGAGATGGGTGGCGTCATTGAAAATCCTACAGATCACAGAATATTGTCTGAGACTGAAAACTTGCTTACTTTGGATGCATCATCAGGAGGGGCTGATTGCTAGGGAACGACATTACATTTCGTAAAGTGAAGAGTTAGCAAAGGCAAGGGAAACCCTCAATGAGATGGACTGACACAGTGGCCACAACGATAAACTGAAATATATCAATGATCATATGAAGATGGTGCAGGACCAGACAATGTTATGTTCTCTTATACATGGGGTTGCCATGAGTTGCAGCTGACTAGATGGCAACTAACAAGACAAAAACAAAAACAATCATCCCAGTTGTGTTATTTTCTCCAACAATGCTTGTTGGCAAAGTGAAGTCAGAGAGATTCATCTAGGGTCAGAGTTCTTACTGGTGGGTATAGGGAAAACTAATAAGGAAAGAAATTTAAGGCACTGAAAAGAGAGTAGTTAAAGTGACAGATCACAAAGTCTAAGATAATTAAAGAAGAAAATGAAAATGTTGCTGGTTCTTGTTAGATGCCGTCGAGTCAGTTCCAACTCACAGGTACCCTATATACAACAAAAGGAAACAACGCCTGGTCCTGCACCATCCTCACAATCATTGTTATGCTTTAGCCCATTGTTGCAGCTGCTGTGTCAATTCATCTCGTTGAAGGTCTTCCTCTTTTTCGCTGACCATCAACTTTACCAAGCATGATGTCCTTCTCCAGGGAACGGTCCCTCCTGACAACATGTCCAAAGTACATGAGATGAAGTCTCACCATCCTTATTTCCAAAACAGATTTGTTCGTTCTTCTGCCAGTCCATGGTATAGTTAATATTCTTCACCAACATCATAATTCAAAGGCATCAACTCTGCTTCAGTCTTTCTTATTCACTGTACCGCTGTCATATGCATATGAGGTGAATGAAAATATTATGACTTGGGTCAGGCGCACCTTAGTCCTCAAAGTGACATCTTTGCTTTTCAACACTTTAAAGAGGTCTTTTGCAGCAGATATACCCAATGCAATGCGTCTTTTGATTTCTTGACTGCTATTTCCATGGGCGTTGATTGTGGATTCAAGTAAAATGAAATCCTTGACAACTTCAATCTTTTTGCCATTTATTATGATGTTGCTTATTGTAAGGATTTTTTTTTTTCTTTATGTTAAAGTGTAATCCATACTGAAGGCTGTAGTCTTTGATCTTCATCAGAAAGGGCTTCCAGTGCTCTTCATTTTCAGTAAGCAAGGCTGTGTCATCTACATATCACAGATTATTAATGAGCCTTCCTCCAATCCTGATGCCGCGTTCTTCTTCATATAGTCCAGCTTCTCGGATTATTTGCTTAGTATACAGATTGAATAAGTAAGGGTCTAATAAAGAGATTGCAATAAAAACAGATGTCTCTATTTGTTATTTCAAAGTTGGAAATTTCCGACAAATGGCTCAAAATGTGGCTCTGCATGGGTAGAGATCACTGCTAGAGCTAAGGAGGTCAAGGAACTTTCCACTAGGAGTGCCCTCTTTGCATATTGTCCTCGTTCTTTTGTGATGCTTTGTTCTCTGAAAACCACAGGCAATAAAACAATCTGGAACTCCTCAAATTTCGGAGAATCTCCCCATCCAATCCCACAAACTTTAAAAGGCTGAGAAAAGGAAGTCAAGGAGTAGACTGCTTGACTCTGCTTTTAATCTAGGCAGTGGTTTTTCAAACTTTTTTTTGTAATACACAGGCCCCATTTGCTCAGTCAGTATCCTACATGGAAACACAAAAGGTAAAACAAACAAGTGTAGCTGCTCTGCTGAAAGTCGATATTGGAATACTGTTAAATTTCTCTTGCTCATCACACCCTCTTCCCACATCCTCACATCTAGCAGCTAACCAGGATCTCAGAGCACAAATGAACCTTTTGTTCAAAGTAAACAAAAAAGTAAAAAGTCTATGTGCCTTCTTAAAGCATATGTCCTAATGGATCCCTTAGTTTGTGACAATACGGAGATCTGTAGGCATAAAGTTCAAGAAAATAATTAAGAAACTTTATTATATCTCCCTTTCTACACTTAGCAGGGATTCTATGGGCAAAATACTGAACAACACAGGGAGCATCAAAAAAAGATGGAAGGAATATACAGTCACTGTACCAAAAAGAAGTGGTCAACTTTCAACCATTTCAGGAGACAGCATATCTTAGTCATCTAGTGCAGCTCTAACAGGAATACCACAAGTAGATGACTTTAACAAAGGGAAATTTATTTTCTCATAGTCTAGTGGGCTAGAAGTCCAAATTCAGGGTGTCAGCTCCGGAGGAAGGCTTTCTCTGTTGGCTCTGGAGGAAGGTCCTCGTCGTCATCACTCTTCGCCTGGACTAGGAGCTTCTCTGAGCAGGAACCTCGGGTCCAAAGGATGCACTCTGCTCCGGTGCTTCTTTCTTGGTGGTATGGG